TGAATGTAAACACAAAATTAATTCCCTTCTTGCTAATTATCCGAGTGCCCGGGTGAGCATTCCAAAGGGTGGAGGAATGGGGAAAAAGGAAAGCACAGTCCTGGTCACTTGATTTCCCACTTAGTGACCTCTTTGCTTAGCAATGGAGTCGCCAGTCCCAATAGTGGTTGCTAAATGAGGACTACCTGTAATTTAAGTATATTTAATAAACATAGGAGTGATTACAGGTAGCCCTTGTTTAGTGACTGCAATTGGGTCCAACAACTCAGTCTTTAAGTGAAATGGTTGCCAAGTGAACATGTGACTGAGCGAGAGAGAGAAACAGAGAGAGAGAAACAGAGCAAAGATCACTGGTTGCTGCTGTCTCATTCAAATAAAGTTCTCTCTTGCAGTGTCCTGTGTCTGGCCTGTCTTTTTCTCTTTTTTTGCCCCCTTGCAGGGTGGAGAGATTGCTTAAACAAGTTGTCTCTTCCTGAGCTGCTTTTCTCCACAGCACAGGGTGTCCTTAAAAAGTGTTAATGGCAAGTTAACAAGCTCAGCTCTGTGACCTTAATTAGTTAATTAGAACCTTCCAGCTCCTTGCAATTGCTCACTGAAACTGACTGGATCTTAATCAGTTTCACACTGAAGGCTTTTGTCTTCATAAATGCATGCATTGGTCAGAAAATGAATTTTTTATTACTGTTTATTTTTTGAACAGTTGCCAACTGAGGCAGTTGCTAAACGAGGACTACAGATAGTCCTCGATTTACAACCATTCATTCAGTGACAGTTCAAAGTTACGATGGTGTTGAATGAAGGGATTTACAATTGGTCTCCAAAGTTTCAGCCATTGCAGCGCCCCTGCGGTCACATGATAAAAATTTTGGTGCTTGGCAGCCTGCTTACACTTACAACTGTGGGGGTGTTTCAACTCCCCCCATCTGTCTCCCCTTCATCTATGCCCTTTTGGCCCCTCCTGTTCCTGCTTAACAATCCATGTGTCTTGGGGTTATGATGGCAACTGGGACTGGGGATTACCATCACTAAATGATGCTGTCACGTGATGTCACACTTTATGACCTCATTGCTTAGCAATGGAAATTCCGGTCCCAGTTGTGGTCGTAAGTCGAGGACTACCTTTAACTATAAATGCATCTGAAGAGAGTGGTCCTACTTCCAAATTTTATTTTCAGTTGAATAATTCCAGTTTCTCGACAACATGAAAAACTGAAACTATGGCTACAATTGGCTACAATTCAGTTGCTCATTACATGCATTACTCTAGGCAACCTCCTTCAAGAAAATTGAATGTGACTCTACTGAAATCCTGTAAAGTATTGTCATGCTCTCTTGTCTACATATTATTTTTAGAACCTATACTTAATATATATTGAAAATATTAGGTCATACATATACTTTTGGCATTAATATTTCAAGACATCAAGAACTGTGGACTTTTCACATATGAGGAATTAACAAAAGAAATATTATACAACACTAGAAGGATAAAACATATGATTTTAATCAGTGCATTGAGTTAGGGACAATGCGTGGAAAAGGACTTTTGAGTAATTTGACCAATTTGGGGAGGGCCAATTTGTTTTGTTTATAATGTAATTTTTCCAGTAAAAATGATTTTTTTTCTTTTTTACTTTGATGTTATATTACAAGATCAATGTGTCAATGTGAATAGTTTAAAACAGAGATAAATTTTCAAAAAAAGATAATATCTATAAATGGAGAGATAATTACTGTAGTTTATTTATTTATTTATCAATTTATACAAGTGATACTTAATAAAAGATTCCAAGCAGAGTAAATCCGCTTTTTTAAATCTTTTTTTTAATATTTATAAATAATAATATAGTGATTTTGTCATTACACTAAAAAATGTATACTTCTTTTTTAGATCATGAAAACAACTCAGTGTGAGTGGTTTGATACATTAAAAAAAAAAATCAGATAAAGACCTTACCTTTAGTTTTGAAGAGTTCTCAAAAGTTGGTCAAGGAATACAAAATGGATGCCCAAAACTTCCTGTCGCACAACATCCCAGGCACAAGGGCTGTATTCTTCATCCTTTAGGAATGTGTCTAGCCTTAAAAAATATTTCTTCAGTTTTAGTTTTGTACGGATATCTTTAAACGTTGCTTTTTCTCCAGTCACTGTAACAGAGCATGTTTCCCACTGCACAACTTGCTGATCCAGAACAATTTGGAAAAGTTCAGTGACTGTCATGTTCCATTCAGCTTTGGTGAAGTTATGCCAAAATATTCTTTGGATATGCTCCAGCATCAGCCCAACGGTTGCTCTTGCATCCTCTTTGATGGACCCAATATTTTTTCCCATTGGGAAGTTAAAGTCTGGAATTTTATGGAAGCATTCCAAAGAAATAACTTGTGTTCCCATTGCTTCCAGAAGCTTTCTGATGTCCGCAGTTGCACCTTTTTGGAATTTCACGATATGATTGCAGTCCAGACTTACGATTCCAGATGAGAACAAAAGCAACAGGACGATGTGCTGGAGACAACGTAAGACCATGATGATGCTTATTGGGTGATCTGTATGGAGACCTGAGATACTGGACCTTCTTCAAGGATTCTTTGAGATCTTTGAGTCTGGATAACATGTTCCTGAGTCTATTTATTAGGAGCTGCAGAAAACTTCCCCTTACATTAGTCCTAGCATTTTCCATTTTCATTTTCAATTTAAGTGCCTTAGCTGGGTAATTTTTGGTACTGCTTTTCTTTACCTTCTTCACCTTCTGATAGACTGAAATGTAGACTTTCAGTTTGGACTATCTAGATCCCCATCCCCAAATAAATAAAAATAGAAGTTGATTATGCACTATTATAAATACATTGGAACAAAACTCTGGTCACCCCTACCAGATAGCATAAAGTCTGAGGATGATGAATATTGCAGTCCAACATATCGAAAGGACCATAAGTTGCATAAGATTGATCTAAAGCTTGTTTGATGCCTGTCCTAACTTTGACTTTAAAAATTGCTGTGTTTGTGTCTGTGTGTATGCTTGCATGCATGCAGGAGCAGAACTACATCCATGCTTGAGGAAAAAGTGGTTTTTCCTCTTGCTTCCAACATGGTCCCAAAAGTGAATGACACCCATCAGTGGGTGGTTTCTTCCAATTTTTAATACCACACTGAGAACCCCAAATTCTGTTGGAGACTGTGTTTATTTATTCATTCAGGTTCCTTCCTCCTCTACTGAATATTTATGTAGGTATGTATTTTTACATACAGATTTAGTTGTAAAAGTTTTAGATGGATCTTTAGGAAGATAAAGCAGCATGTCAGATACAGATTGGTGATAACTTGGTTCACATCCTTTGAATATCCTTTGTGATATTCAGTCTGGGGGACAAAACTGAGCTCAAAACTATTTGATCTGCATGAAACCCAGTATTAGCTTTTGGAGCCAGCCAGTGACATAGGAGTGGTTGTAATTTACAAAAAAGTGAGGAAGGATGAAATGTTATTTAAACAGAAAGTTGTCTCACGTAGATAGACAGAGAATAGATATGTAGATACACTTATATATAGGCAATAGTATTAACAATGAAATGTGACATCAAAATCTATTATAAAATATTTTAGAAGATGAGAGGGAAGCTTGAAAAGTGATAACATTGAAACAGACCAATTTCAAATACTGTATGAGTAATTTTGTAAAACCCATTCAAAAATCCTTTGTGGCCATTCTTATTTTAGGACTTTTTCTTTTTCTTTTTTTTTAAAAAGTCTCTATCATTTTATAGGAATATATTCTTTCATTTTATTAAAAAATGAGAGAGAACAGTTTAGTGCCAATTGATTAAAATAAGTATATCAATATGTGTAAAAAGTGATTGATGAAGAAAAACATGGGTGTTTTTCATTTTAATACAACTCCAAATTATTAAACTTTTCAGATTTGGATTTGAAGAGGTAATACCACCACAGCATAATATGCTCTCTTTTCTGCACTTTTCTGCCACCAGTTTCACTTTCCTATCATCATCCTGCAGCTGCAGGACTCTGCTGAGTGGTTCCCCTTGTTTAAAAAAAAGTTTGAAAACCAGACACATTTCACTGTTAATGGAGCCTGGAAACCAATGAATAGACTAGAAAAAGCATTTCTTTTTAAATTAGGTATTGTAAATCTTCAGCAGACCTGACAGAATGCATCCAACACAACTGATGGAATGGAATTTGATTTTACATTTGGGAAAGAAAAAGTCTCCTGATGGTTTTGGACTACAGCATCTATCATTCCCAGCTGGTATAGGTAATGGTCAGAGATAAGGAGAGCCGTTTGTGGTTGTACAATCTCCAGGGACACAAGGTTGGGAAACATTAGCTAGGGTAATCCAATGCCTTTTTGAGGTTTTAGACTCAATCAAAAGTTATGGGAGTTGTAGTCCAGCTGTGTGCCTTTCTTCCAGTTTATGAGAGGTTATTTGATCATGACAGTAATTTGAACCTTCTATCACAGAGGCTGGCTGGTCAGTAGATGTTCATTACAATTACTTAGGATAGTTTGAATATTCAGTATGATGTAATAGTTGCAGAGTTCAAATGCACACTCAGCTATGAAGCTCAACTGGGTGAGTTTGGCCCATCAGTGAGCTTTTCCTCATTAGCAATCCTTAGGGGAATTCAGCCCTTGGAGTGGCAACAGAAAAACCAGCTGGCATTATGGTACCTCTTCCTGACTCTCTTTGTCCACTCTGCATGTTGCAGCTGCTAGATATTTTTGAATACAGAGAACACTGGAGTTAAGGCTGCATAAATCTCATCCTGCTAGGCCAGCATCAGGGTACAGTTATTTATATTCTGTCTTTCCTTCAGGAGCTACAGCATTTTTTGATTTTTCTCCCCAGAAGTCTGTGAAGTAGGTTAAGCTTGGAGACTGAGACCTTTTCTTTAGTAATTTGCGGGTCCTTGAAATGGGTTGGCAAATCCAATTTTACCTCCTGTCTCCCTGATTATGGCCATGCTGTAGCTCCTGAAGGAAAGACAGAATGTAGATAACTCAAACAATAATTAACTTCTATCTTTAAGGCAATTCCAAGATATTCTACCTTGGAATATCAGCTGTTAAAGCCTTTCATATCTTAGCTCTGGAGAACCACTAGAAGGTAGCAAAGAGTTGGAGACCGCTCTGATGCCACCTAGTGGTCCTCTGGAGTATTGCAGCAAGATATGGTAGCCCTAGATCCCATAGCTATGCCTAGAGCTATGCTTAGTGGGCTTGATTCTACTTACATGTGTGATGCTAACTATAATTTCTGGGGAATAAACTGGAATAATCCAGCCAGGGTCACCTCAAACTTTTCCTTATGCAGTCACTTCATTATGGGATAAGCCAGAGCAGCCTTTCCCAATCATGTCTGTTCTGGAAGTGTTGGGACCGCAACTGTCAGAATTCAAGGCTAGAAGTTTTAGTCTCAAAATACCTGGAGGGCATCAGGCTGAAGAAGGATTGCTTATAAACATAGGGTTAAAAAAGCTGGCTTTTCTAAATGCAGTTGCTTTGTTTGGAGCGCAAGTACTAAAGTATCGGCTTTGGAATGATGTAAAGTTTGATTGCATCAGCACCGGGTGAGTTGGCTAGCACTGAACATAATAGATGATCACCAAGAGCTGTGGTCTGAGCTCTATGAGTTTTGTGAGATAATTCATGCAAAGGGAATTCAAAATAAACTCATCTGTCACAGAGTAAAACTTGCCTTAGATATCACAATTTCTGTTTCCAACCAGTCAATTTTAGTTTGGACCTTCTGAAAATTTCCCAGTCTATTCAACTGCATTATACATTTCCTCCGCCCCCCCCCTCCTCTGCTTCAGTTTCAGTTTCTGATTGTAAGGCTGGGATTTCAGGCTAGCACTGTGGAATTTTCTTTGCTGGTTTTTGTTTTAATCAACATTATTTTTAAAAACCAAGAGGGGGTTACTGAAGTTAGGCTATGATTGCCTGTTTAGATGAGGTCAGTTTCTCAATCCTGCAGGGGAGTAATGGGCTCAAACTTGAATTCGGCACATAAATGCCCTTAATTAATTTGGAAGTGTAGATACATGGCTGGAGACAGAAGCAGCTGGGCGATGCACATTCAAGTATCAGGCACTGCAAATTGTACTGTAAATTCCAAGACGTAGTGGCCTTACTTCAGGGGTGGGCAACTGCAAACCCGGGGCCAAATGTGGCCTAAAGCTCTCATTCCTGTTTGGGTGAGAAGACATGAATCCCAGTTTTTTTCATCTGGTGAATTACTAATTAAGAGGTACTTGGGGTAATATTCCAGAGAGGGATTTTTTAAAAATCCTAATCTGCAAGAGATGTAATTGGGTATTGTGGATTTTGGTATAGGCATTAAATTAGGCATTTCAGAACTTGGTTAAAAGACAGTTCTTCCCTCCCCATTTTTAGATTTATAGGAGAAAAGCTGAAATGTTGGATAATAGGAGTTTTTCCTCATTTGGAAATATTGCAAGAAAATTTTGTTGACAAAGGAAATACAAATTCATTGGATTTGTATTGTACTGTTTTTCAAGAAAGCACAACTGAATATAGTGATAGCTACTTTCAAGATCAGAAGGAATTTGATATGTTTGCAGAAACAATTATAAATATATTTCCACCCATAATGATATTCAGATATATGAAATAGTCAATACTACTTTTATCATTTGGAGTTAGCAAAGATTTGGGGTCTGTCTTCAAGCTTGTATTCAGATATTTTTGCTATAGAATTGACTGTGATTATTTATTTATTTCTATATCACATTTATGTAGCGACCCATCTCACACAAAGTGACTCTGGGCAGCATACAACAATTAAAATAAAATAACAAGTGAATAAAAACAGGCATTATAAAAAGATAAAAAGTTATTAAAATAAAACATGATCACAGATTTTTTAAAAAATAGATTTTAAATATGCAAACCCCACAGACAGAGCAGAATATCAATTATAGCAGAGCCCTCTAAGAATGTCTCCAGTTCCCAAAGACCCGCAGGCCTGATGACACAACCAGGTCTTGAGGGACTTCCTAAATGACAGCAGGGAAGGGGCGGGCCTCACTTCAGAGGGGAGAATGTTCCATAAGGAGGGAGCCACGTCAGAGGAGGCCCGCCTCCTGGGACCCACCAAATGCAAGTCCCTGGCCGATGGAATGCGTAGCATACCTTCCCTGCCAGATCTAATGGGATAGGCTGATGAAGGTGAAAGAAAGAGAACGGCTGAATTACTGTGACAAATTAGTTATTTAAATTTTCCAGAAAACGAATAATAATTTTCCAGAAGACGAATAATAATTTTCCAGAAAACGTATAATAATTTTCCAGAAAATGAATAATAATTTTCTGAGTAGTCTTTATTTTATTAAAATAATGAGTGAATTATCTAACAGGATATCTAGAATGTTTATTTATTGAAAATAGGTACATTTTAATGTAATCTTCTTGGTAAGTTCACCAATCAGCCCAAAACATTCCTTGAACAATTCAGAGACCCTGAATGATGTCAATAGTGGTTGGTTTACAGGTAGTCCTCATTCAGTGACCACTCATTCAGAGACTGTTTGAAGTTACGACGGCACTGAAAGAAGCACTTAT